GGCTCTTCGTTTTCTCTGGCGTGTGCAGATTCCTGCAGCCTTTGCTGCCGTCTTGGCCATGGTCTGAGTTACGCGACCCCTTGATGCTTGTGTGTGGCCTCCTGCAGATCCATCCCACTCTCGGCATCCCAGCTTTATCAGTTTTGGTGGCTTCAACACCACTACCAGTCTCTAGAACTTACCATTTCTTGCAGATTTTCACACACTGCCTCTCAGCACACCCTTTCCCTCTTTGGCCTCCTGTGCTCTGGTAGCAGTTTCCCTGTCTGCAGTAGCAGCAGAAGCAATTCATGTAAAATCAGGCCACTGGGGACCTAGAGAGAGAATGGTCACCTCCAGCAGGCAGATGGGGCAGACGGTTATCTTCCACCGTTGTAACAACTGGGTTTGTGCAGACACATCTGTAAAGGTCTGTCTGGGGCAGCAGTGAGACCCTTAGGCTGGGGGGAGGCAACTGAGTATGTTTAGGTTTCCTTTCAGATGGGGAAATTGCAGTACAGGCTAAAGATATAGAGCAAGTCTGTGGTGGACTCTTCAGGTCTTGTCTCCTGTTTTCGTGAGCCAGCTGCTAAAAATGCATGTTTGCATTCTTGCAAAGTGACCCTCCACTTCTTGGCTATTCATTTTTTCTGAGTCCCTGTGGGTGGGATACAGCAATTTGAGAGTGTCTTGGCAGCGTCTCACTGGTTATAGGATATATTCAGGCTCAGGCCATACATCTCCAGCAGGCAGCAGTAGCCTGTAGGCAGATGTCTGCTGTGCTGTTTGAAGACATTCTTAACTAGTTGTTGGTGATAAAATCCTCAGCTGGTATTGATGTTTTTCCAAGGCCTTACCCCATCAAAATGCCACCTGGAAGTTTGCTGCCTTTTGAAACCATGTGAAACCTTCCTGAGCTTGTTGTGTTGCTGCAGCAGGAGTTGATTGTAGGTCATGTCAGTAATAACAAACTAATCTTTAACCTTCTCAGGGGGAATCTGGTGAAAGCTGAGTGGAAGCCAGGACAGGGCATCGCAGAGCTGCAGTCGCCTGCGGTGAGTCTGCTGCACAGTGTACTCGGTGCCATCGTCTCCTGTTGGCCTTTGCAGATTTCTTAATTTGCTGCTTGAAATGGGAGAGAGCCTGGCTGTCAGCAGGGAACAGCCAGAGCCCATCGGGGATTTGTGCTTCTGTTCCAGGGGAAGTTCTGGCACACCATGGGCTTCACAGAGCGTGGCAAACAGTGCCTGCTGCCTGAGGAAGCTCTGTACCTGCTGGAGTGTGTAAGTACCTGTGTGTGGATGAGGGGTTTGGGTCCTTCCTGAGTGACTGGAGAAGCTGTAACAGCTTTAGACTGAAGTCTGAAGTCACTTGACTTGTGTTGGCCACTGCTGCAGTTTCAGCAGCTGATAAACACCTGGCTCTTGAGGAATTGTCTCTTTTTTCCTGTTGCTGATGAGCTGTTTGTCTCCAGACCATGGATTCATATGTTGTACTCTAAAGCAGCCTCTGGGTCATTGACGGCCTGCGTGGCCAGTTTGGATTGGTGGCCAGTTTTTCAGCTGGTACAGTGTTTAATCCACTCCTGTGTCAAATATGACAGTAGAGAGACTAGGAGAGTTTTAGCAGATCTGGATTTCTGTTAATGCAGCACTACTAAGTCAGCTCTCTTACCAGAGTGAAAGAAGCATGACTATGTTAGAAAATTTTCTATTGAGAACTCTATTTTCTTGCTCTGGAGGTGATAAAACCCATTTATTTATTTCTTTACCAACATCTACAAGTTTAGGGACTTAAACATTCCAGGAAAACTCACTGTTCTGGGAATTTCTGGAAACAAGAGCAAACCATTATCTTCTGCTCCTTGCAGGAATTAACTGGAATAAAAGGTCTGGTAAATCCTTTTCCTCACAACTGATGTACAGTTAGTGAGGACATCTGAGACTGGTCAGTGCCTTCTGTGTCACAAGCTGACTTCTTCCCTTATCCCCAGTGTATCTTGCATATTTTGCAAGGACAGTGTTCCCAAGTTCATTAGCACAGTTTTTCTGTGCTTCTCTAAGCCGCTGTTAGGAATTAGTGAAACTACCCAGCGTGGTAGGACCACCCTTTCTGTGGGAGGGGTGTTGGCAGGGGAGGCACTTAGACAGCAGCCAGTGCTGGATGCACTTAAGCACAGGTGTTTGGGGTACTTGGCATCTCGTCCTAGTATAGATGACAGAAGGAAGTTGAAATGTGGCAGACAGGAGCGAGACGGAGTTGCTTTCAGTGCGCCTCTGTTTGCGGAAATGCTGCTTAGGGCTTGGTTGGATTTCTTTGCTGTAGAAGTTTGGGTGTTTGGGTTTTTTTGGTTTTTTTTTTTGTTTTTCTCTCCACCGAAGCCTGTTATCAGTAGAATAGATACACTGATCTAAAGGGGAACTTCAAAGGGACCTTTTTTTTTTCCTTAGCAAAACTTGATCAGATTATGGCCATCTGCTACCATCCCTCAAATCCAAACTCATTTTTTACCTCTGTTTTTCTGACAAACAATAGATTATAAAGGAATTGACAAAAATAAAATTTAGTCAGTTGCTGAATATGAAATATCTCCCCAGAAGCAGTAAAGACTAGTTAGATGCATTTAGCCCATCCTATGGTAAAGATGTGGTTGTTAGTGTTTTCTGTGTTTATGAGGAGTAAATATATTCTTAAAAAAAAAAGATGAACAAGAGGTATAGCCTAAACCTGACTCCTGGAGGTAAGTTACTGTTACCTGTGGAATCTACTTATGGGGTCCCTGGGGCTTTGGTAAGTTCTGAGGGGCCACCAGCTGTTGGGATCTGAGGATGCTCTAAGGTCCTCTGCTCTAGCTCTCTCAATTGTGCTGGTCCTCAATGTTTTTGTAGTTGCACTGTGTCCTAAATCACCGAGGCCATCAAAGTTAAAGAAAATTATTTTTCAAAGCAATGATTATTTTAGAAGTTGAGTGTCGTGCACTCAGCTGCATTCTCCAAACCCATGCAGTGCTGGAGCAGGAGCTGACAGCTGTGGGTGGGAACTTCTTACCTGGCTGCTAAGACCAGGGCATGGGGGAGCTGGGCATGGGAGAGTGACTGTAAGTAGTGCAGGTGGCCCATGGGGAGTCATGGATATTGTGTGAAGGAGGGTGCTGAGACCAGTGGGAAGAGACGGATGTGAGCTTGCATAGGTTTGTTCCCTCTGATTCTCTCAACATCAAGCTTTTGCCCTGCAGGGCTCTGTTCAGCTCTTTTACAGGGACCTGCCTTTGTCAATCCAGGAAGCCTACGAGATCCTGCTGTCCCAGGAGGCAATGAGCCTGCCCCATTACCAGGTGTGTTGGGACCTCCAGCTATTGCAGGGAGGATGAAGGCAAGGAGCCCAGCCTCTGCCACACAACCTCTTGCAGTGGCTGAGACCAGAGTAGAACAATTAGGGAGGGAGTTAGGGAGAGTCATTCTTAGTTTTTCTCCCTCGCCTTCTTCCAGATAAGTTTCTGCTTCCCCATCTTTGCTTTGAGTCCTAACCCTGCCATTTTCTCCTCTGTCAGTGCCACACTGTGTTCTCTCAGTTGTAGTGGAACTGAAGTAAATAGTTTGGATTTAGGCTGGTCGTTAACCCTCTTGCTTTCCTTTGCTCTAAGGTGTTCAGCCACTTGAAGCAGCTGGGTTATGTTGTACTGAGATTCGACCCCAGGTAACCAGCTTTTTCTTCCCACGCTGCTTTCTCCTTTCTGAAGACCCTGAGCGGCTCTGTGCCCACTGCATGGCCCCAGTGGAACGGCAGAGAAGAGGACTTTGACCCTGCATTCCATCTCTTGGGAGGATGAAAGGCTAAAAGTGGCACTTTACCCTTTCTTGCTCCTCCCTCTTGAGGAGGTGACTGGGAACATGAAATGGGGCATGAACTGAGGACCATCCTGGTCCTGCTTGTGGATTTTCTGTGGCTGGAAGAAGTTTTTTTGTTGCTGTGTTCTGGGGGCTAAGCAGAAGGGTAGTTTTGCTGCCTCGCCTGGCTGTCAGCCTCTGTGTTGGTGTCTTCTTACAGCACTGTCCTGTCTCCCTACGAGAGGCAACTGAACCTGGAAAGTCACTGCCAGAGCTCTGGGAAACACCATCGCAAAAGGAGGAGGAGTTCCAGCCCCCAGTAAGGATGTGGCCCAAAGCAGTCTTCCATCTTCTCGCAGGCTCTGCAGCTTGGGAACAGCATCCTCAGCCCTTTGTGCTGTGGGTGACTGGTGTGGCACAGCTGCGCTTGGATGTCCCCAAACAGCACAGTGTTTTTCTTGACTCTTTGCAGTGTGCCCTTTTGTCACATCTGTGCTTTATGCAGGACTAACGGGGGCAAGCTTCCCCCGAGCCTCCCAACTGCAGTGATCAAATGCCAAAATAAAAGGGTGGAGAGATCGGTGCAGAAGAAACATGTGGCAGATGTTGCCTCTTGCTCTTTTTTAGAGGGAACACAGACACCACAATGCACATCTTGCAGTTATCCAGCCTCTCAATGCCACTTACTTGCTAGGACTGGACAGCAGAGAGGATTGTTGCGTCCTGGTCCTTGCACATGGCCTAGTAATTTTGCTAATAATTAAGAGAGGTTCCAGTAGGTGGCATCATCCTTTAAGAAATAGGGAGGACAAGACTGGTCTGAAAGTTCTTTACTATTAACAAGTAACTTTGTCTAAGGAGTCAGAAAATTTTAGGAATTAGGAGATAAAAGTGCTGATTTAAGAACTGCCCCACCTCCTCTGAGATCAGGGACTCAATCTCATACCAGTAAGAAGTGCTGGCAGGAGGGTTTCTGCCTGGTGTGTGCTGGTTTGGCTGAGGTCCATCATGTTTGTGTGGAGGTGTTTGGGTCAGTTTATGGGGTGTGTGGAGGCTGCATGGCAGGTTGGAAGCATGTGTGCATAAATGAAGACTGAGATTCTTTTGGGCGTTTAAGTCCAACCTCATGCAGGACTGCTCTGAGAAATTTATTCCACCTGTGGCATTTGCTGCTTGTTTTGGCCTGCTTTTCTCCTTCCTTTTGTCACACAAGCTAAATGCCCTCCTTCCAGCCAAGAGGCTGTTGTCGAGGGTTTGCAGTCCAGCTTGGGGGTTCCTGCCACCTTTGCTGTCCTTCCTTGAGGCTTGGCAGACTGCATCTCCCTGTTAGCAGGGAGGAGGTGGGAATCAAAGGGAATAAAGTTTCACTTCATACTCTTCCCATCTTCTATGCCGCTGCTTCTGTCTTTAGGTCACATGAAAAGAAATGCAAAGTATCCGAGGACCTTCGAGAAGCTGAAGGGAGCTCTGAAAAAGCTGGAGATTGCTCTGGAGACTCCAGCTGCCTTCCTGTGGATGAAAAGCTGTTGTCAGAGCAGCCAAAGGAATCAGATGCTGGCGGTGGAGAGGGGGATTCAAACCCGCTTTTTCTTGATACAGCACAAAAGGACTCCCTGAGCCCTTCCAGGAGCCAGGCTGGAGACCACAAGTTGAGCAGCACTGGCACCCATGCACCCCGCTGGGATTTTACCACCATCATCTTGCCAAATGTTGCCCTAGACCAGCTGTGCACACATCTGCCCTCACCTGACAACGGGCTCTTGCCAGAGAATGTACTGGGGAGGGAGGTCGATGCAGCTTGCTGGCGTGCACGCCTCAACCAGAAACAGGAGAAGGTCTCATGGAAGGAAAGGGAGCGGCGAGAGAGGGAGAGCAGGTACAAGAGCAGTGTCAATGCAGACCGGGAGGTGAGGCGCTGCTCCAGCTGGCAGGAGTACAAAGCCCTTTTGGAGCAGAGAAGCCAGCAGAAGGTTTGGAGACGACCGCCACATCTCTGGGGCCAAGCTGTCACGCCACTTCTGCGGCCAGATGAAGCTACCTCATCAGGTAGTGGCTTTGGGAACTTGACAGAAACCCCTTTCTGCCTCCCAGCAGAGATATTGCCTGATACGCAACAGAAAAAGGGGTAACATGGAGAAGCTGAACATCTGTTCAGGGGACAGTATCTCAAGAAGGAGAATCTTGTCAGAAGGTCTAGTCAAAGCAGGCACAGAGGAGCCCAGACATGGGGGGAGAGAAGAAAGCTTGTCCTCTGCCTTTCTATCTCTTTGTATAGCTCACGCAAGTGCCAGGATAAACAGGGCCTTGGGAGGTCGTCTAATCCATTCCCTATGTCATACCGTATTGCTGTCCTTCCTGCTAGGCTGTTGGGCATGTGAAATCAGGGCTAGCAACACGCAAAGTAATTGCAGGGTGTGCTGGGGGAGGGGGGATGAGGAAGTTGAGGTCTTTGAAGTAGCCAGTGGTGACTGTGGTGCTGCCAGCCATTGTTGGAGGAGGAAGGCTTGTGGGTGGTGGTGCAGTGCTTAGAGTGCCCTGGGAGAGAAATAGCTGGTCTGATCCTTTCCTGTTCCTTCTCCCTCCAGCTGCGATCCTCCAGCAGATCAGTGTGCTGCAGCCCTCCCACATCCTGGATGGAGCCTCTCGGTTAGTATCCAGCCGGCCAGCTTGTAGCTGTTAGGGAGTGGGGGTGTCTTGTGACTGTCCCTGCTTGTGAGGTCTGCCTGATGCTCACAGCGGCAGTTCAGGAGCTGCCTGGCATCCAGAATGCTGAGAGAATCCAGCGCTTTGCTCCGTGACTCCTCACATCTGTAGCGAGTGGCTGACATTTCTGTAAAGTACCAGTTCCTGCAGCAGCAGAGTTGGTGTATTCCAGGCCAATTTCAGCATCAGGGTTGCTCTCATTTCCTGCTCTTCCCTCTCTGCCCTCCAGTCAGGTAATCTCGTTCACCTGTGCCTCATCCCTGGAATGTGTTGTCAACTCTGCTGCAGTGGTTATAAAATTTCTACTTTGGGACCTTTGGTTCTACTCCTGCATCAAAGAGCCTGTGACGGTGTGCAAGCCCTGTAGGGTGGAGCCGTGCTTTGCGTCCGTGTCTGCTCGTGGTGCTTCCTGCAAGGGGGTTTGCAGAGAAAGGAGTGTGGCAGATGTGGGGTGGGGCCTTGCTCTGGTCTGACTACGGGAGGGGTCTGGAAAGTAATTGTAAGAGTTGCAGCTCAGTCCTTCGAGAAGTGAAGCATTTTAAAGGGCCCCAACTAGCCAGGCCTGTAGAGCTTTTGCTCCCTGTTCTCTCTGCTGTATCTATACCCTAGAGTGTTTCAATCCCATACATTTGTGGATGTGTTCTCTCTTCTGTAGACTGCAGGAGGACCCTGAGTGCGTGAAGATAGACTTCAATGTGTATTCAGCAGATGCTGTGGCCAAGTTTAAGAAGACAAACCCTGGGAAGCCCTATGTCAGGATGTGTGTTCGGAGGTATCTATGGGTCTTTTGCTGTGTTCTGAAACATAGCAGTTGCTGTTGAGAAAATGAAGTCCTAATGATCTGTAAATGATCTGGCATCTTGTGAGTTTTACAGATCATCTGAGTGCCTCCCTGAGGGTGGTCCTGCCCAGAACTTCTATTTTTTTAATTTCAGTTACTTCTTTGTTGGAGGATGTGGCTGTCAGTTCCCCCAGCCCTTGCACTCAGCCCACACTCTGGTCATCTGGTTGCTGCTCATGTTTTTGAGTACTACTGGAATCAGGAATAAGAAGTCACAGCTGTATTTATGCAATGCTTCTGAAACTCGTGTTTTGTTCTTTGTCAGATGTAATAAGATCAGTACAGCCAGATGATAGGAGTTCCATTTCTTGCTGAATCCAGAATCTGATACTTAAACTCCATAGGCAGGTACAAAGTTCAGTCTCTGCCTTTTTTGATTTTGAAATATACTGAATTTGTCCCTTCTCTACTATATGCAGCTGTAGCAGCCAGAGCAAGGAAGGTGATAATGCAAGTTTTGAAAGGTCTGTTGTGAGCAAGTAGGATGATCCTTGCTTTATAAATATTTTCATTTACGAGCAAAAGGACTCTGCAGGATTAAAAGGAGGGAAAAACAGGTCAGATCTTGATCCCAGCAACCTGAAGATCTTCCTAGCACAAACGTATTAAGATCGCACTGGATTGGCAGTTTGCCAGTAGTCCTCTAAGTCACATCTGATAGGAACAGTGTGGAGCAGTGTGCAGTTGCCCTTGGGTTTGGATTTGACAGCTCCCAGTTCCCAGTATATTGTCGCAGGGCTGGCAGCCTCCTGCTTTGACTGCACAGGGTGGGGAGGGTCACTACTAACTCTTAAGACCAAAGGGAGCTGTTGTGATTGTTGGCCGGGACGCTTTTGTCTCTGTATTCTTACTTTGAGAATGACTGGGTATTTTTCTCTCTGCAGCTTTGACGAGCAGATTCCATCCCTTCGGGCTTTGAAGCAGGTTACGTATCAGAGTGGGGACGTCCCGGTGGTCTTTGCACTGGTGGATCATGGAGAAATTGCCTTTTATTCACTAAAGGAGTTCAAGCTGCCGGTTGATGTTAATCACTGAAGTTGCTGTGGCTTGCAGAAATGGTATGGGATGAAGAGCTTTACTCAGGATTTGTTTTCTTGATTAATGAAATATTACAAAATATAGATCTATGATAATGGGAACCCTGGGTAGATGCCCACTTCATTTGCTGTTACAGACTTCACCCAACCAGATGGCTCAGGCACAATAGCAGAGTTTATAGCAAACAAGTGTGTAAAGCTTAGCTGGGCATTTGTGGACTGGAATATATATTGCTTTGTTCTTGAAGCCACTGGTTCTTCAACTTATCTCACGGACCACTAGTCTGCCTTTTCTGTGTCATCTTTGGCTGACCATTAGAAAACATTTGCTGATGATCCTCTTGTCACATGTTAAGAACTGCTGTGCTACACCAGGCAAATGGTTGGTGGCTCATTGAGGTCAGTCAGGGACAGAATAAGCTGATCAGATCAGTGGTGGTGTCCTGAGCCTTTCATTCAGTTACGCCAACAACCAGCAGATCAAATTCTGATCTGAAAAAGGCACAGCCATAGAACTCGGCCACCTAAAGTAAAGTTTCCAGGCACTTGAGAGCAGCAAACTGTGCCTTGAGCACTGTTTCATCAGCCAGAGGTCACAGAAAGACCCAGAGCGTTGCAGGTAGCACCCCAGCCTCATGTGCTAGCAGCTGTGCTGAGATGCATTTGGGTCACACAGCATTATGCTACATTAAAGTTTGACCACCAATACCAGCACGCTGTATCTAATAGCCTCACTAGGGCTGTACTGCAGTCTGCTCTGTTTCAGCCTGACATCCTTGTTCCTGGCTGTAGATACTTGTCTTTTCTCTTTTGCAAGTGAGAGATCCTTGAGTAAAGAAAGAAGCTACAAATTCCTCATGAGCCTTCCAGTCCTGTGGCTGTTGCGCTCCAAACTGAGGATGTCATTGCTTTCCAAGCCCTGCTGTGGGAGTTTTGCACCAGGAGATCCAGGTACCAAATTTGCTTTAGCCTCTATGCAAAAGTGCCAGTGACAGGTGCCAGAAAGTCTGCTCCGTGGATAGAAGTGTGCTGAGCGTGGCTGCATGCACTGTCCAGGTTCTTCAGAACTGTAATAGCAACGGGTTTAGATGCAGTTTATTTGAGAATTTTTTAATTCCTTTTGGGGATGTGGAGAAGACCTAAGCAATAAAAAAGCCTTTTCCAACTATGAGCTCCTCTGTGGTTTTTAATTCCCCCCAAAACAATAGTAAGTTATGCAGAGGGAGATGTTCTGGGGAGGCTACTGGGACCCCAGTACCACCAGCTGGTGAATGCCTGCTCACAGGCACACAGCCCTCTGGCTGTGTAACCCTGCTCCTACATCTGTCTCTGGATCCAGCCACTGCCCTGTTCCCTGGGAGCGCATCCACTCGCAGTTCCTGCTGGCAGACACCACCTCGCTGTCTGTCTCCTGTGTGGGTATCATAGCCCAAGGTGTCAGGGATCTGCTGCAAGCGCTGCCCCTGGTTCTGTGTCATACAAACACCACTGTTACCAGACACTGGAAGTCAGCAGGGCTCTGCTGAGGTGAGGGTCTGACAGCTCCTCCCACGCACCCTCCTCTTCCTCCTCTGAGCAGTGCTTCTGCTCTTGGAGTCCTCTTCAAATTCCAGGGTTGTTGGCAGCTCCGATCTGTGCCCTCAGCATTCTCCCAGACTGTTCTGCAGATTACAGGCAGTGGGAAGAGAGTTTCTAAGAACAGGCGTAGCCAGAAGAGTTCCCGTCTGACCCACAGTGCTCACGTTTGTCCTGGAAATAGGTCAAACTCCTGTTGATTTCAATCAGTCTCATCTGCTTATGCCAAGGTGGAATTGTATTGATGAACTCTACAAGAGCCACCCAGTGAGTTTCGCTGGGGCAGAGACTCCCTGATTCAGCACAAAACAATTATAGTTTAATAACCACTGCAGGGAGGATTGAGAAACTGTGGCTGCCTTGCTCAGCACCACAACATCTGACAGTGCCTTTACCAGGATGGGATTATGATGCAGACTGATACTGCTGCTTCATTTTGGCCTGCAATGGGGATTGGCTGGATGTCGCAAGAAGACAGAAATAAATCTTTTAATTGAAAGACATCACTTCTGGAAGCTTGGCTGAAATATTGGCTGTTACTGGCTCCTTGTCAGAGGGAATTTGAAGCTTTTCTATGAATGTGGAAAGGTTTGGCAGACTTTGGAGGGCCATTGTGCTCCATGGGATGACGGATTCCTTACCCAGGTGGTGTTTGCTTGGGTAGGACACGGGCTGTCTGCAGCCGAGCTGTGCAGCGCGATCTCGGAGGCTCTGTGTGGCTTTTTCCAGGTGAGGCTTCCACTTTCTGTTGACCCTTTCTCTCCTTGCACCTTATCCCGGCTTCGCTTCGGCCGGAGCTGGCTGCCCGGGGCCGCGCGGCCGCCCGTGTGGCTCTTTCCGCTTTCTGATTGGCTCCGAGCGAGGGTCCTG